CTATGTCAGTTTCAGTCCTCCATATATTCCAGCATCAGACAACAAAGCACGTACCGTCACACCTTAATGAAAACAGACAAGTGTAGACAAAGAAAACAGACTGGATACTTATAACTCATTTATTTTTGAATTGTTTTCCTTTATGTGGCTATCTGTATCAAATAAAATGTTAGTTGAATACTGTAGTGAAGCATCTCGATGGCCTCTCTTTTTCCTGCACCTTTTATTTAAACGATTAGCTACAGCTGCCTGTCTAAAACATAAATCTAATGTCTTCTTTCTTTTGTGTTCTTTCTTTGCTCTTTCCAGTCACAATGGAAGAACCTCGGAGTGCAATATAATTTTTTACATATTAAAAAAACTGTACAAAAGTCCATAAAGATTGGTATAAATAAAAAAATATACAGGGGCATAAAGCTTATAAAACTGGAATAGAGAGGTGTGGGATGAAATTAAGTCATGTTTATTAGACTGTTTTCTTGGGATGTTTTCGGACTTTATAGCATTGACAAAAGAGCAGAACAAGACTGAAGAAGACAGTAGGGTAAGTGGGAGGTGACAACAGTAATACAAAGATGAAGATGAAGAGGAAGTACCACTGTGATCTCATATCCACACACGACCTACTGCAAAGAGTGCAACTGCATATAAAGGTCTAGATTTCTTATGAATTTAAGTGCCTGCAGATGTAAGCATCATTCCATTAATGTAAGACTCTGTGTTAGAAAGTGGTCAGCTTTTTGAAAAAAAAAAACAACAACTTAAAAAGCAAGTTAGGCCAAGTTAACTTGAACATTCTCACCCAAGCAGAAAACTCCTTTCACATGGTTTTAGACAAAATGAGACTCAGTAACAGATACTATATGTGGTAATCCGTGTTTTACCTCAGCTTGGAATCCCTCAACCAAGATGGCCACCAGCAAGTTGAAAAGGACGTAGTTGCCAAATGTCATGAGTGCGATGAAGTAGAGAGCAGCTACAGGGGAGGTGGAGGCCATGCCGTTATACAGCACCTTGTTCCAGTCCTCCTGGGTCAGAATCTGGGGTGCAAAGCAGAAGAAAATGTCTTTAGTGAAAATAAGAAAATGAGTCATTTTGTTAAGCTATGTTGTTAAGCTGTTCTAGCATTTAATTTGCTCCAACTGTCATATTATAGTCTAGTAGGAAGGGGGGGGGGGGTCCCATGCACCCGAAGGATATATTTTTAACCTAACTTTTTGTACTCCTTAAGGTGTCTAGTAAATGGATCGTGAT